GACGAGACAAAGTTGCAACACTTAATAAAAGTTAGGTATTTTTTTGCTAAATTGAAAAGGTTGAGTTTTATTTGCAATTAAACAAAAAGTTGTGGTTTTTTATGCAATTAACCCTTTAGAAAATAGAGATAAAAATTAATGAAGACCGGCTCAATTCAATGAGGGGCACCCATCATTTATTGTCAAAAATCTTTCTCCAATATTGAGTAATGAAGATGGTTTTCTTACTTTTTTTATTTTCTTTTATATTTTTTTTTTTCTTATCTTCCCTATAACATTTGTCTCTCACTCACACACACACTACTTTATATTTCTCTCCCTCTCTTCCTACTTAGGGTGTGTTTGGTAAAACTAGCTGATAAGCTAGCTGATAGCTGATAAGCTAGCTGATAGCTTATATGTGATAAACTAGCTTATAGCTTATAGCTTATGACTTATAGCTTATAAGCTAGCTTATATGATAAAAGTGTTTGGTAAAAGTAGCTTATAAGCTAGCTGAAATAAAAGATTCAACGAGCTTATTTTGAAACGCTACCTAAACAAGCTTATCAAATAAGCTCGAGCTTTTTAAATAAGCTCGTCCTACCAAACAGGGCTTATTTAATACAGGAAGCTTATAAGCTAATCAAATAAGCTATAAGCTAGCTTATATGTCATACGAAACATACCCTTAATTATATGTTATATATTATTACATTATTTTTAAGTACCCTATTTATCTTATTTACTTTTAAAAAGTATTACTTATACAATTCACTTTTAAAAAAATTATATATATATATTTTTTTTTTATACCAATTGTAATTAACTTGTGGTTTACATTTGCTTCACTACTTTAAATTATTTTCAAGGAATGTTTAAAGTTTGTTTAATGTATATGTAAAATATATTTAGTGATATTAACGAAAACATACACTATCTTTTACAATGTGACATCATGTCATTATCTTTTATAGGCGTAATGATTTATTTTTATTTTTTTATTTATAGCGACGTTCCAGGCTTCTGACCCCTCCGAAACTGCATCAAGTTAAATTGCGGTAGACACGCAATGGCTCCCAGGTACCTAATACCCTCAGCCACCGCGCATAAAGAGTCGATCTCCAAGTGATTGGTCGCTGGCCTCCCAGCTCCAAGTTGGCTCATCTATCTAGCCGCAGGGTCCCACCGAAGTGCTTGCTTCATGCTGGCCCCACCTATCCAGCCGCTGGTTCCCACTGAGTTTCAGTCTCCCACACTATCACTTGTAGTCCTCAGTATTAATTGTTCCACCATTGTGCTCCAGGGGACTTGAACCCTTGACCTCATGTCATGGGTACCTCAGTTTTAACCAGTAGGCAAGAGGTCATTGGCTTTTTTTTTGTTGGATCTTCTTGTAGTTGCTAACTTTTGTTTATGAAGTTGCATTATATGTTTTTAGGTTATATAATTCTATTATTTAATTTTTCCAAAAAAAAGAAATAGTTTTGTTAAATTATACTCGAACATTCTTTTCGTGTTTGGCCCAGGGCCTTAAAATCTCCAGGACCGACTTTGATGATTGATAACGTTGCAAATCTTATTTTTCTAAAAGAAAGTCAGTCATTAAAATCAAACAATTTACAAAATAGTCTAGCCATATTTTAGAGTAACAAAATATTGCAATTGGTATAAAGTTACAATTCATAGATGTCATTGGGACAAAAATACTATGGAGCCATTTGATTGTAGAGCTATCCATCATTTAATGTATTGACATATGTCTAGATTGTATTTATTGTAAAACACGGGTCGATACACTATTGGTGAATAAGTGTAGAGAACTTTAAAAATCGAGTCATTCGATGACTCCATAACAAAACTAGTCATTGCGAAGTACTGATTTTTTTTTTTTTTTTTTTTTT